TCCAAGATTGAAGCAGTTTTTTTCCTGTACTGATGATAAAGATACCTTCATTTTACTGTAGGTTATAAGAGAGTCTGGTAGTTTGATCCACAAAATTTATATTTTAGTGGGTGATTTTCTTTGGTACTCCCCGCCTGCCCGCCCAACAATAATTGCTGTATTGTAAAGAGGAGAGATATAATCATAAGGAGAAGTCAAATATTAATCATTCTTAGGGCACCACTTTTAATTATTTAAGCAGATTATTACATAGCTAAAAGTCTCCAATCATTATTTTTTTACTTGACAGTGAAATATTTGTTGAATGAACAGTGCATCTATAGTGACAGATGTCGGAACTGCGAAACTTTTATTAGAGAAAATTACAGTCTTATAATAATGTAAAATGTTTTTGTTCTGACTTGATCTTTTTGTCTTTTTAAACTACACCAGAATTATAAAGTTGAATGTTGTAATACAACATTTTACGTGTAAGGTATTATCCAAACAGAAAGGATTTCTGGTTTCCTGGGCTTAGTTCTTACCTTGCAAAATCATTTTCAAAACATCTTTTTACCATGTCAAGTGTACATTTGTCTATAATTCTTACTATTAAAAGTTAAATAAGTTAGATTTCAAAAATGTTGTCCTTTTTTGTCAGAAAGAGCTGATTAGAAGTCTTCAATCAGATTTATTAATAATTAATGTAGTAAATGACGTAACCGTCATCCTCAGATATTTTCAACAGAGACATGAAAACTAAAAGCTTTTCTTCAGTTTTTCTCAGAGCATTTTTCACTTCCCAATCAGAATCTTTGAGGAAAAAGGGACTTATCACGGTCTATTTATGTGATGGAGGTACTGGTGGAGACATCATAGTCATTACAGAAAGAATTGTTTATGTTTCCACCGATCGAACTGTTTATACATATTGATATATGAACCCTCATGTACATGCATGTAAAACAAACTTCATAATTAAATGAAAAACGTTTTGCATGTAAAGCAATAGTTATCATTGCCCCGCTTAGTGTTTATTGTACAAAAAGTCTATGTTCTACTGACAGATACACGTAATAGGCTTCAAAAATTTCCACTTCTCAGTTGGCCTATCAGGCATAATACTGGCAACAATGTGTCTAGACCAAGAATAAATATACATGTAAATCCCACTCTGGGAGGTACAGTGCAATGGTGGTCTTTGCATCTGGTACTCTGGGTTTGACCCTTGGTTGGATTGTGTTGTGTTATTTTGGGGCAAAACACTTTCAGTTACACACAAGTTTGGGCACCTATGGGAAACTTGGTACCCGATTTTCTCTTTCATTTCTCAACCAAATTTGAGCTGCCAAACAAGTTGCAAAGTGATGAACAAAATATGTGAGTGAGCTCTCCTTTTAGGGGAGCAGAGATTATGCAGTGGTGAGAGTACTTGCCTCCTAGCTACTGCTTGGCCCAGGTTCCATTGTGGCCTGGTGCCATGGTTGGGTTGGTTTAGTTATCAGTATTGGTTCTTGCCTTGCACCAAGAGTTTTTCTCCAGGTACTCTGGTTTTTCTCCCTCCACAAAATCCAACATCTCCAAATTCAAACTCAACCAGGATAGAGGACCTGCCTGAAAACCAGGCTATAGCTGATGTGGCGTCCTCTTTAAATATTATAATTTTGCTTGTTCCCCTTTTAGTCTCTGAACACCACAATCTTTTTATGGCTTTTTTTTTGCATCAGTAGGGTGGCCCATATGCCGATTTCACATTTATGTTACTTTTAAATGTTATATTACCTCCCTTGAAGGTGAGAAAGAACACCGCGAACAGCTTAAAACTTGATATAGTTCTAGGGTAAGGTTATAACTAAGGTCGTCTTTTATTGGGATCAACTATTTCAACTGCAACCGGTTTGGGTTGATACAGTTGAAGTTTCTTAAAAGAACACTTTTCCAACCATTTTCAGTTGAAACATGGCAACTCCTGGGAATAGTCCTTTCATGAGCTACAATCATGCAACATAATCACCCATTAATGCTTTTCCAACTGTTTCAACCTGGTTTGAGGCCAGTTGAAAAAGTTGATCAACCAAACCAACTGAAAACAGTTTTTCCCCAATAGAGCACAAAAAAACTCAAGCAACCCAACCAACCAGAAACAGTTGATCCCGAAAGAACACGACCTGAATCTTGGTGTGGCCCTCTTCAATTTATATGGGTGCCTTAGTACATTTAATTCATTTTTAAGGACAAGGACCATACTGAGAGAATATCGGCCAGAGGTCTATTTAATAAAGGCTAATGGCTAATAATCCACCAGTGTTATCTCGAGCAAGCTTGGATAATAAAAGATTTATTACCAGAATGTAGTTGCAGACTATAAATACCATAAATTTCAAACATGAAATTCTGATTGATACAGTAGCTGACTTGTCAGTAACTCACATGTGATGTTTTCAAAGACACAAGACGGCAGGTCAGAATGTTTTTAAATGTTACATGAAAAAGATTAAGCAAACCATGACGGCAACAGGAATGGGAAAGTTGCTAAACAAAAGGTTTAATGAGCAGAACAATGGCTGTGCATGCACGTTATACATCTTTGTACATTTTGTAACTGACCTCTTCAAAACAACAATGTGAAATGACCAACTTTTGCGTTTTTTTTTTTTTTTTTTTTTNTCCTACTTACAGGTTGACCGGCGTTTAATCCAACAAATACGGCAACTGTCGTAACTTGATAAGCACATTTGTTCACGGTATAAAAATTTATTGTGCTCACTGTTCAAACAAAGATAAAGGATATTAGAGCACTTTTTTTTTTTTTTTTTTTTTTTAAGAAATCGAGCCATGACAGCTAATTTCATATTGAGCAGGGTTTTACACCACTTGGCTTACTAAGCAGTTCAAGATGATAATTGCAAAATTCAAACTAAGGTAAATTATAAATCCATTTTTTTCCAGCCCTCGTTCTTAGCTTGGTGGTGTTGTCATCATTGCTTAAGCTCCCTAACAACATGAAATAACCATGTCCTGTGTTTTCTGGAGATCAACCATTTCAACCGCAACCGGTTTGGGCTGATACAGTTGTTGTTTCTCAATAGAGCACTTTTTTAACTGTTTTCGGTTGAAACACGGTAACTCAGGACTGTGAATAGTCCTTACGCGAGCCACAATCATGCAACATAATCACGCAAATGCTTTTTCAACCGTTTCAACCTGGTTCAGGCTGGTTGAAAAAGCTGATCAACCAGACCAACCGAAAACAGTTTTTCCCCAATAGAATACGAAAAAACCCAACCAACCAGGAATGGTTGATCCCAATAGAACATGACCTTAGACACATATATGCTAATGCTATAGTGTAAATGGTGCAAGTCAAACTTTGTGCTGTGGCTATACACAATCATGACAATATTGTTTGTCCTCCTGGGAACTGCTTTGTACCATAATTTATAGTGGTCCATCAAAAGTTAGATTTATCTCCTGGGAATGCGAATCTGTTGATGATTAAATACTCGCTGTTGTGCCTTCTTCTTGACCATCTGCAGTCTCTTCAGTGCTGACTGCATGGCTACATTTTGTGAAGAGGTTGATCCACTTCCTGTTGATGGCTTACTTGCCCCAGCTGAAGATGATGAGGAAGCTGTGCTAAGGGCTGGGATGGCAAATGACTGGTGCATCGTAGGAGAGGAAACAGGCTGAAATTAACATCAATTACACAATTATTGGTTACTTGAAATCCTGAATGTGTCCAGCTAAAATAAAGTTCACAGTCAGCAAAACAGTTTCTTATGAAGTTGTATGTGCGAAGCTCACTGCCTGTCCTGTGCAGGAAAGCAATGTGTCCTTACAAAAGGCCAGATCTGTTTTGTTATGCTAAACAGGCAAATCTTTTTTTACCTTGGTATCAGAAATGGAGCCCTGTCTTTTGAAAGGAGGTAAAGGAATGGGTCTGCTAGAAGACGAATGTGATTTAACAGATGTTGCAGATTCTGTTGATCTTGATTTAGGTTTTTTCCTTTCTCAGTGATGTTAAATTTTCTTCCACTTTTCAGCCAACAAAGTTTGGTTTCTTCCATTTAACATTTAAGTATGCTTCAATAATTTCAATATTTTTAATATAATTTAAGGAATGAGGTACATGAAGGAAAAATGTTCTTTGCCTTCAGTTTTCCACTGCTAATTGGATTCCCCTCACAAACACAGAAAAACAAAGATTACTACACCAATAAAACTTAGAAACAGACAAAACAGAACAACCAGACAAGGGAGAGAATTACAAGCCATTTGTTGACAAGACTGTAACAGACTTTTCAACAGACTAATAGAAACTTTCCTGCCTCCTGCAGTACAATTAAAAGAAAGTATAAGTAATTCAAAGCTAGTCTTCTCCTAGGTAACCACATGTAGATCACAATTTCATCCAATTTTTGTTTTTTTAGACAACTGAATGTGTTCAAAAAGAAACAACTCTCCCATGTACTATCATTTGCTCCTTAAGAGAGAGTTTTTAATAAACACTAATAATTAATTCATTGATTCTAAGGACCAAGGATCAACATAAATGTAGCTGCACAACTACAAATTAAAGTGCTGAGTGGTCACTCAGCTTTTTTAAATCACATGTAGTACCAAGGTTTGAGAGAAGTATCTAATGATTCATGTACAGTCTATGGCACAGCAATAGGAATACACTAGGTACATGTAAATGAACACTCTACAAAAACCTTGATGATGTATTCATTTATTGCTCTCTTGTGGGGGGTACTGGTGGGCAGGTATTCATGACTGCAGAATTTAGTTTTATTTTCTAAACTGTTTCAATTCTTTTGTTTTAATCAATTTTGTCTCTTCAAATAATTTTGTTACAATAATCACTTGATCCATAACTTAACGTTTTTCAGTGGATAGCAATTAAAGCTAACACTCACTAAACTCTCACTGGTACACTGTAGTTTCTTATACTGGCTTCAGAGAATTTAAAAAAAAAAAAAATGTATTTAAAATTATATCCTTGAAATGTTTTGTACCTGGTGATAAAGCGAATGACACTCATGGCATTCCACCAGTTGATTTCCGGGAATTTTGCTCTCTTCTCTAGGAAAGAAAAAAGAAACAGACAGCCACATACACAACATCAATATTATTTCTGTGCAGTGAATTAGTTTAAATCACCCAATCAAAAGTTTACATGGCTGTACACATGTGTGCTATGAAATTAGTGCAAATTACAAAATTCATGTTAATTCTAATCAGGCTTATTTCTTGGATTGTTTTTTTCGTTGAACACAAACTTAAAAAAGGAGTCAAAAGCATTTGTTTCCATCCCACTAATTTATATTGATTTAATTTAAGCAGTCCACTTTGAAGCCCACTTTGCAGATGATGTGGCGCTTTTGTCTTCTACTAAACAGCATATACAGANACTTTGAAGCCCAGGCATGAAGAAATGCTGCCTACAAACGGCTGCTCACAGGGCAAGAAAATAAATCTTTTTACAGAGTTGGAGATCAACTGGCATCACTAATTAGCAGTAAAGAATGTCTGGGATGGCAAGATTCTGTCCATCAACCCATAAAACTTTAATTAATATTTACATGTACAAAGTTCTTGCTAAATTAACTTGTGTATTGCCGCAATAATCTTTGTTTCATTTGAAAATTTTGCTCCTCTTGTCACCACAAAAATTGCCCTCATTGTCCTAAAATAAATGCATTAACTTCCTTCATCAAAAATATTTTAAACTTCTTATTGACATTTATTTCAACCCATCCTTTACATTATTATGTGTTAGTTAATGGGAGTATTTAATCCCTATAATAAGGGAACTATAGGCAAAAATATCATAGGATTACTTGCTAAATACATGTGCTGTATTTAGTGATTTTACCATGATTTGCGGTGCTGTCTTTTTTTTTAATAAAGAACTAACCTACAACAGATACCACAGACAGAACCCCAATCAATCATCAAGTCATCAACCACAGGTTGGAGAGCACTTGGAGATTCTAAACCTCCCTCATCTAACACATCTTCCACATCAAACTGAAGCTTGGCCTTCTTTGCCGCACTATGATCCATGAAGGAACTTGAACTCAACTCGACAGTCTCAATCAAACTTGAGCCAACCTCCAGAGTTTCGACACTTGCTTCTTCAACAGCAAAGTTTCTGACATGATCTGTTTTAACAGGAACTGTTGGCTTAGCCTCCGTGTCATGTTTCTTCTCTGATAATTTGGTTTTAATTTCAGCTGTTTTAACTATTGCACTTGGTCTTCTTTCAGAATGAAGCCCTGATTTGGCTTCCTTGGGTTTTTCCTGGGCATGAAGACAAGATTATAGAATAACACTTGATTTCAGGAACTTCACAACATTACTGAAGATCATGTGTTAACTGTTTCTTAAAACTGAAAATAGCAAATTGATATTCACAAGACAGCCCTTTTAGCCCGCTAACAGTTTTCAAGATTTTGCGAGTCTGAGTAGGTTGACAACTTTGAATTCATAGAAATGCCATTCTTAAGCCAGAGGGATGCTCAAAAAGGATAACCACATTGGACTGATTACACAGGGATACTAGTCATACATGTAAATGCATGTTTCAGGGATTAAAAATGCAAGTTTTGTACGTGCCAAATACCCAGTTGTGTTTGTTTTTGCGTGTGCTTTTTCATCATTCTAATCAAGCTTTAGAGGTTAACTAAGGGGTAACAAGAAAACAAACAGAGAAAAAAGGTTAAGTTTCGGAGTTTGTTCCTCTTTACAATGGTACCCTCACTTAAAATATTCCTCAGACCAGGGGTAGTTTGGTGTAAACTATTACTCAGGCGATGATGCACTTCTTGTATAAAAATTGTTTGCGCCAATCATCGATTAACAACTTGTAGAATTTGTTTCATTAAGATTGTAACGATGTCTTTCAAAGTTGTCAGAGTGGTAAAAATTCAATTTTCGGATTCTACAAGACTGAGTCGCAGTGGATATCTCATACCTTAGAAGAAGCAGGAACTTGTTGGTTGTGCTGTCTGATGACATCATCTCTTAGAGCACGAAGCTGGTCCAAAGAATCAGGATGTTTGGAGTGTAAGAGTTTCAAAGCCTTGATAAAGACAGAGTCGACTTCTACAGATCCGCTGACGGCCGCCATCTTGCTTCTTCTTTGTTCAATGTTTGTGCCCAGTCTCCGACGCAATCACATGTCAACATGTCGGCCGCGAACACAAGCGATGCTCCGGTCTTGAATGCTGGCGGACAACTGCAAGAAAACTCACTTTCTGCCCTTGATCTCTCTAAAGATCTTCAGAGGCTTATGTTAAAGATCAAAGGGAGCTTTATCACAGAGGAGGGTCGAGCAGTTGACTACAGTGCGTTGAAAGAAAGCGACTTGTTTCAGGAATATGTGGACAGAACAAAAGCCTTGAAAGCCTTGAATCTGGGAAATTTAGAACAGAAAGAGAAAATAGCGTTCTTTCTGAGTATCTTTTATGACTCGCAGTATTCTTGCTCCTGATTATGCTGAAATCGTAAGTCAAGTTCTCAACTTGACATGTATCTGTACTGCGACACAAGGCCCCGGTGATGGAGTGGTGGGTGGGGTGGGGGGTGGAGGGCACTCTTCCGTAGTTCACATCCAAGAGGCAAGTCTAAAAGGTGGGGGGTGAGTGAGACAGGGTAAGCCTATAAAACATGCTGGTTAACCTGAATAACGGTTAGCTTAGCCTAAGTGTATATAGCTCTTAATAATGGCACAGGTCTCCCAATTGCAAGCTCCTTGGGTGTTGTGAACATTTTATTAACTCCCAATACAAGGCAGGGTTGTAGTCAGAAAAAATTATGACAGAGGCATTGCCCATACAAAAAACTGACTGAGGCAAGTGCCTCAGTTTGCTTGTTACTAGCTATGGCCCTGCGAGGAGCTTGGGAGACCTGTGATAATGGTAATGGCAACACTCCGAACATCCTGAAACCCTCTGACTCCTGTTTTAGATGTGCTGTATCCATGTGGATTTAATAACCTGTCTTGTTATTTCCAGTACCTGGTATTGATCTGAGGAGTCGTATGGGTTTGGGGGGGAGGGGGGGAGGGGTGGAGGGGTGGAGGGGTGGAGGGGTGGAGGGGTG